GAGGTGAGACAGACAAGACGATCGCGGATGATTTAGTTTCGAAACGAAATGCAAAAGTGCTTGTTTGGCAATATTTTGGATTTTGAAAAGCCTGTTGACTTTTGCCATTTATCTAAGGTGATTTTGGAAGATTTTTTAAACATTCGTTTCTTATTTAATTGGTTCCACAGTGTTTGCTGATTTTTACTTTATTTAAACTTTGTGTCATTTATTTATTTTATTTGACATCAAGGTGTATGCCATGCCTCCAAGTTTTGCTAATAAACGTTCTACGTTTCTTATTTATTTGGTTATATATTATGCATGTTTACTCATTTCCAGTTTTGTATAGGCTACCTGTTTAAACTTTATGTAAGTTATTTGTTATTTTATATTAGGCATAGCCTGCCCTATAGCATGGTGTATTTTTATTCGTTTTGTTAATAAAAGTTCTATGTTTTATATATACGCTAAAGTGAATTTGACGTTGTATTTGGTTGTTGCATTCAAGCAATTGACGCCGAATGCTTTTACGGTGCTTTTAAGCTATTTAAAAGCGAAGGAAAGCGAGGAAAATAGGGACCAGTATTATCCGTGTTGTCACACGTCGACTAACCGGTGGGAAAATGTCCTCACCGTCACAACCCTAGCGCAGAGTCATTCACGCAAACACTAAACACCATCATGGTAACATAGGAACATAAACCCACATGTACATAACTGATAACAAACATAACAAAACTATTAAGAAACATGATTATTTAAACAAAAGACTTTCAAATGTTGAGTGTCACGCAGGGAATACTGGGAATATCAGTTTACAGTTTTTTACTGTAAATTACAGTATATGTTGATTTGTTCTTTTTTACTTCTAAAAATTGTACAATTAACAGCATTTTGCTGTAAAATTACATGAAATGTCTGGTTAGACATTTATATTTTACAGTTTTTCCCTGTATATAGTACGGGAACTTACTGTTAACATATTACATTTTTTTTCTGTAGTGTTTTTACAGTATTTTACAGTTAAAATTACACTAATTTTTTACAGTGCAGATCCTAAGTCTTAAATTTTAGCATGTAAGTGTTTGTGCTGTGGACGCATCAAATGCGGCTTGTTGAATATGTATTTAATGTTATTATTTGCTGGATATAGATGTGTCACAAAATTGTCTGTAAGGTGTGTTGTATGAATAAACTTTGCTTTATTTTAGTAAGTAGTGCCTTGTGATATACTTTAGCATGTTAAAAAAACAGTACTTATCACAGAAATAATATATACTTAAGTGTGAACTAAATTGAATGTTTTCAGACACTTAATCGCATGTTAATTACAATTAAATAAATATGTATTATAGTTTAAATTGATATTAAATGCAATTAGCTGAACTTTAAAGTGCTTATTGACATTTTATAGTATTATATTAGATTATTTTCTAGCACAGATTGTTAAAAATCGACTTTTAAGATCTGAAGTACTCTACAAGTGCACATTCAGTACATTTTTTCCAAAAGGGTTCCAGACAGGTTTAACTTTACATGTAAGTTACATCAGGTTTCGGAGCCAGAAACAGCTCTGTTAAAAAAAAAAGGTTTTATCATGTAAAGCCTTCATGTAGCATTCTAACCTGTTTCTTTTCCTGACAGACCTGGGCTTGATGTTTTCTATTTCTCTTTCTCACTCTGGGCAGATTTCAGCTCGAAAGCATATTCTCATTCTAGTGTGCTTCATTTTAGGCAGCGTTTAACCTTTGCTTACTGTAATTTCCTGTCGCAGAACCCTCTGGGATATTCGTGAAGAGCATTTCGAGGGACAGCACGGTGGAGCAAGACGGCCGAATTCATGTCGGGGATCAGATCATAGCTGTGAGTTCTTTCACAAAGAAAGTGTCAGAGAAGACTCTTGTTTATGCATGTTTTGTGTTGCAGTGCTTATCAGAATCAAAAGGCTTTTATGCTGACAGGTGAAAGTGTTTCTGTTAGTGTTATTGTGCATGTGTAAATATATGTTATGGGTCTGCAAAATAACAGTATGAGAAGAGAAATTAAATATATAAGTTATATATCACAAAGTGGTTATTTTTTCTCTGAATTTCAACAAAAGAAGACAGAAAACATGATCTCTACTGACTTCAGTCTCATTGATGGGTTCCACATCGAGTCGCTAATCATTTGCATAAAGTTAAACTTTTCTCAGTCATTTTTGCAACATTTATTTTTTATTGCCCTTTTACTATTTCATTTTGGATTGATTTAAAAATGGACATGATTAAAAAAATATTAACAAAACTCAAAATTGAGAACCTTATGACTTTTTTCTCATTTTTATTTCACATTTTTCTTAAAAAAAAAAAAAATATAAATGCAGCCGCATACAGCAGTCGCTCACGTCTGTTTAAACGCTCCATGAAATGGTTTGACGAATGTTTAAGTAGCTAATAAGTAAGTAGCTAATAGTAAGGCTGTGCAATCAAATCTAGACCACAACATGACCTAATGTGATTATTGGACTGAAAAAGACTGGAATTTAATGAAAGAAATATATAATCTGCATGAGCCCTGTGCTTCA